TTCAGTAGACTCGGTCTGCCATCTTTCGACGGTAATTTGCTAGAATATCCAGAATTTTTCGCACGCTACTCGACGTTGATCGGCGACAAGACGGAACTCGATGACACGACCAAGTTTTCTCTACTAAAATCATGCCTTAGAGGAAGAGCTCTACACTCAATCGAAGGACTCGCTTTGACGGCATCGAACTATCATATCGCACTCGATATCTTGAAGACACGATATGATGACAAGGTAACAACACGTCACATATTGTTCAGCCAACTTGCCAATTTACCTACATGCGATCCAGAAGGCAAAAATCTCCAGTCGCTCTACAATAAGATGTTCGCCTTAACAAGACAATTCTGTGCGTACGAAGACGACTCCAAGGAAATCGCACTTGGCGCCATCCTCACCAATAAACTACCGCGTCACATAAGGAGCAGAATCTACGACGCAACTGGTAACTCCCACAACCTCACACCGACGGAGCTACTCAACATATTGACGTCAATTGTTCACAAAGAGGCGACGCTCCAAGAAATTGAATTCCACTGCAAGAGCTTCCAACACGCACGAGAGGATGGTTATGCCAGTCTGTACAGAAGTCAGAGGAAGAAACTACAAGAAGAACCTCGTAATCAACGCGAACCTTCGTACACGAGACGAATTCGAACGACAAAGCCGACGTCGGAAAAATTCAGAAGGTGTGCTTTCTGTGAATCAAACCAACATTCAGTTTTCCATTGTAGCAAATTTCCTACGCCACAACTTCGTGCTCAAATCACCAGAGATAAGAAACTCTGCTTCAACTGTCTCTCAAGCAAACACCGCACGAAGGAATGCCCGTCCAGTCGACTTTGCCAGACGTGTATGCGACGTCATCACACGACATTATGTTTCCGAACATCAACGCAGCAACAGGACCAAAGGAAGCCTCATCACGACAAATTGCAGACGGCATCATCGAACTTGAAGCAAAAGGAAACACGAACACAACAGGTACACTACGCTTCCAGTGCAGTACCTTCGATCGAACAACAACAAGACAACAGAGCGTCGGAAACGAAATAGTGGCCTCAACCAGCTCCTATGACCCTACGCCGACATCACCATCTACATCTGTTCTTCTGATGTGCGCTGAAGTAGAAGTCTTCAATCCAAACACTCCAGAGCAAGTCGTCAAGACGACTGCCTTTCTCGATAGTGGATCCAGCAGAAGTTACATCACTACGGACCTAGCAAATAGACTTGCGCTTCCAACCGAGGAGACTGAAGAAATCTCCATGTTCACATTCGGAACAGAGAAACCAGTACCTCTTTCTGCGACTCATCACGCCATAGGACTTCAAACACACAAAGGACCTGAGATTCTCTACGTGAAAGCCATTCAACACTTGACGAACGATCTAAAAATGGTCACATTAAGAGAGGACATCGGAACAGTGACCACCTTCACTACTGAGTCAAGAAAGCCATCTATACTCATCGGTGCGGACTATTTTTGGAACATCATCCTTTCCGACGATTTCTACGTGAAAACCTTACCATCTGGCTATCAAATAGTACACTCATCTATTGGCGATATTGTCACGGGAAAGCCATTGCGAACAGAAGAAGCTGCAAATTACTGCTACAACTCCACTACTGATGAGCTCGAGAAGTTGGACAAACTTTTACAGCGTTTCTTCGATCTCGAATCACAGGGAATAGTGGACACCGATATGACAGCTGATGACGAAATGTGCATGAGGAAATTCAATGAAACAATCTCCTACGATGTGAATGAAGGAAGATATATCGTGCAGTTCCCATTCAAAGGAAATAAGGAGGAACTCCCATCGAACTTGCAACTTGCATACGCCAGACTAGTTCAGAATGTCAGAACTCTACGGCAGAAACCGGCACTTTTGGAAGAGTATCACAAGCTCATTCAAGACCAACTTACAAGAGGAATAATAGAAGCAGTGGACGAAGCTGAGCCTCCGGAATACTGTCACTACTTGGCACATCACGCAGTCATCTCGCAAAGCAGTACAACAACAAAAATTCGCTGCGTCTACGACGGATCAGCCAAAACAAAGGACAATCCAAGTTTAAACGATCTATTGTTTCGAGGACCAGTATTATTGCCTGATCTCACAGGACTGCTTCTTCGTATACGGACCACGCCCATCATCATTTCAAGTGACATCGAAAAAGCGTTTTTAATGATCGGATTGGACGAAGAAAGCAGAAACTTCACGCGCTTTCTATGGCTCAAGAACCCGCACAAGCCGATTTCATCAGACAACGTTGCCACATACAGATTCCGAAGGGTACCATTTGGCTTGATAGTATCTCCGTTTCTACTTGCGGGAACAATACGACACCACCTCATCATGACAGAGACTCCACTCGCAAAGGAACTCATCAGAAATACCTACGTGGACAATATCTACTACGGAGTCGAGACTACTGACCAAGGCAAGGAATTCTACAACGAATCCAAACAACTATTTCTACAAGCTGGTATGAATCTGCGGCAATACATAAGCAACTCAAGCGAGCTGAATAACTTCTTTACTATGAAAGAAGGCACGAAGATAGACGAAAACTCCAAAATTCTCGGTATCTCATGGAACGTCAGGTCTGATCAGTTCACCATCAAACTTCCAACTCTACCAGATCCTGACATCACATGGACGAAACGACAAGTACTCAAAATTGTTGCCAAGACATACGACCCACTAGGTTGGTGCTCTCCCATTCTTTTTTGGAGCAAGCAATTTCTACAGTCTCTGTGGAAGGAGAGGCTAGGATGGGACGAAGCTCTACCACAACATCTTCTGAAATTTGGAAGGACATCACATCAAGCTGGACTGCGACAAACATCAAAATCGAGCGAAAACTGCTGAAAGGTACAAA